ATTAGCCTTGACACATCCGGTTGGCAAGAAAATTATTAGAAATTATAAATTGCACATTAACAGAAATGGATCAAATATGCGTGGTTCAAAGTTAGAGGTGAGCGTTGTAATGCATGACAAGAAGATGGCTACTAAACTAAAGAGGAAGGTGATCCAAGTGATCGCAAGATCGAAACTTCTGTGCAGAAAGGAATATTTGGCTACGTTGAAAAGACACAGGCAATGCTTAACTTAGCAGAAATGCGAATACTCGAATGGATGTGTAGTGCCAACAAAAAAGACCATATTTGCAACACTTTTGATGCAACATCAATTTTTGAAAAAACATACGCTAAGTTGAAAAGCAGGCACCGAGGCAAAAAAATACCCAAAAAATACGTTTGAAATGTGGTCCAAACATCCATACTGACAAGGAAGAAAATAGGTGGAAGATTAAAGAAAATGTCACTGAAAACGTTTGGAAATTGGACTGGTAAAGTACTGCTTAAGTACACGCAATTAAAAACGAAGTCTTGTAATATTCCGGTCAAAAGACATTGTTATTTTCGGAGAAGGGACTCATTCGATATATAAAAAATATTAATAAACAAACATGTTATTCAGAAGACAAGCACTTGGATGACCGAATTGGCATTCTGCCAATGTTTGTATACTTCTGAAAGCGTTTTCTTAATTTGTTAGATAATGAAAGTATCAAAGAAACAAATCCCCAAATCCTATGGGATCAAAAATGCTCAGAGAACTTTCTGGAGCATAGATTATCTTTCATAGAGTTTGTCAGAGGAGAAGATCGAATACAAAGAAGAGCCGCTTTAGGAAATCCCGCCCGATATGGAACTATCTTGTCCTGCCGACGGTTCCGATAAATTGGAGTCCGAACAGCAGCACCGTCTAAACATATACACATGTTCATGTGTACATATTTTTGTACAGAGTATTTACCTCAATATAAGGTGGAGAAGGAGACAAATCCTCATGGTAACTGAAAATCGCCAGAATCCGTACTATTTTCTGTATGAAAAACATATGGAATAAGGAATTATTGCGATTGTGATTAATGAACTACTGCGATTAATCGAAGAACAACGTCGGGATAATTTTAGACAGACGATCGAGTGATAAACAAACAGTGGCCCCACGATGATTCCATCCACTTCAGATAGTTGCGTTTCAGTGATAGGG